CCCCCCCCCCCCCCCCCCCCCCCTCCCCTCCCGCAGAGAGTTCTGGGGAGGTGACGAGCCCGTCTCGTTGCCGCACGATTCACCGTCACGAGTAGAATCGCGATGTTCGTCCAGAGCGTCGATCGTACGAGGCACTAGCGACCGGGCGCGATCACCATCGTCTGCTTCTTCGCCGAACCGTACGTTGAGATGGTGAGAGGGTTCTTGGCTTACCTAAAATAGAAAATCGTAGATAAACACGTTCAAATCCCGCAATTTTTTTTGTGGTAGGAAAGTGTAGAGATGCGCTGACTCAAACCCACAAATGGAGCGCAGGAATGCACGAGAAGGGGTAAGATGCCTGTTCTTTTTGTGAGCAGTTCGAGCTCACGGGGGGCGTCATGCCTCGAAAAACAGTGCAAGGGTCAAGCGGACGCCAGCGCCTACATCCTCGCGTGTTGTGCAGCAGCAGTTGCTCCTGTAGCCCACAGGCTGACGTGTGGCGGGCCGACTGCTGTCCTTGTCGAACTGTTTTGTCCGCGAGCAGAGGCGAAAGAAAACGAATTTATGTGTATGGCGGGAGGTGCAGATTGCGGCGGGCAGATTGCGGTGGCAACTCGCGAGTTAACTATTTTAATGTCGGCTTTCCCTTACACATCTGATGTATGAACCCTGTCTATCGCGCGCAAAGGACGAACGTACATCAGTTTGGGAATAGCGAGATGGTCGGATTATAGTTTTTTTCTCAGTTCTGAGCTCGTCTTCGGGAAATATGTTTTTGGCGGCAGGGCCCGATGCGGAAGCGGAACCGACGATCGGGAGAGGCGAGACGGGGTGATGCACTCTCCATCAAGGAGGGAGGGAGGGCAGGTACGGTGTGGTAGCGAAAGAGAGCCTTGGTGACGACCGAACGGACTGCAGGACGCATCCTCAGGAAACTGAACGGGACGCTCAGAGCGCAAAAAAACGCGACCGTCTACAACGAAGAGGCTCTTGTGTGGCCTACCCCGTGTGCGAATGCGACCAGAAAACCCACCGGAAGGTGTCAAAACTGACGCCTACAACACACAGAAGCACCGCATACAACAGCTAACATCCTTTTTCCATCCCCTCCCCGTTCCCCCTTCGCTCTGGTGGGTTTTCCACTGGCATCGGCGTGGTCGTTAGCTTGGTGAACGGTTTCTTGACAACCATTCGCGGCCACGGTCACCCGGTGAGCCGTAACATCGAAATTCGCGCCCATTTGTGGACGCAAACACCACTGAGAGTCCACTGAGCAACAGCCTCTGTCCTCGTATCATTTGCGCGTGCTCTGATAGTCGAATGCATCCTACTTCCGAAAACATGTCCATGTTACTGCCAAGCAGAGCTATTTTTTTGTCTTTTTGGGAGTTCAAAAGCGTGTGACATCCTTTGCGGTTTTTGAGTGGATTTTCAAACAACCACGATCGATGAAGTAGACGTTCCATTAGTCACATGCTATGCTCTACCTTAGGAGATATGCCCGTCTGGTCGCTTCCGGTGCCCTCTCGTCCGTACTATTGGGATGTGTTGCTCCCTACTTTATCTGTTTTCCTTCGCCACAATTCCAATGTTGACGCAACGCTTCGCGTTTTATCGCTCTCTTTTCGCGTGCTGCCGTCGTGCACTTTCTCGCACTCTTTGATTCCACTCCTTCCTTTACTAAACCATAGCTAGTTCACGTCTTTTTTTGCTAAGGTTTCCTTTTTGTTGGCGACTCTTGCCATTTCTTTCTCCCTGCCGTCTCTCACAGCAGGTTATCAGTGTGGCTCGCGCAATACTTGTTCAGCAGCAGCCCATAAACACAAGCCACAGCCTTAAGAGGACAACATGAGATATTGCGTTATATGCACGTTCTATCGTTCTCATTCTGCTACAGGTTCACCTCGACGGGACCCCGCCCTTGATAAAGAGGGAAAAGTGGATACTACTCGAGAAGGGTTAGCTTTTTTGCAGATTCAGAGAGATTTGCTGAAGCGGCTCGAGGATTTGTTTATCGCAATCGCTGATGACAGGTGGGCTATGGCGAGTATTGAGCGTGTGGTAGAACAACAGAGGGGGTGGACGCGGGGGGTAGCTGAGATTTCAAGTGTTGGCCAAGAATGCGGGGAGGGAGTAGTGTTTTGGTAAACTCATCTGCCTCCCGCAAAGCACCTGTTATTCAATAAAATCGAGCAGGCAGCGTCTTTTAAGCATGCGTCGTCCCTCAAAGCAGTGGCGGAGAGCGGAGAAGTTGGCCCGCTCGACGCTAGAGGGGCACTATCTTGTCGCTATTGAACAGGATGGGGGGGGGGGGGGGGCCNNNNGGGGGGGGGGGGGGGGGGGGGGGGGGGGGGGGGGGGGGGGGGGGGGGGGGTCCTCTTTTGCTGATTTCTCGGGCCGCGTGCCACTCGAACAGACATCCCGTTCCTTGGGGACGAGGAAGGTGTGGAGGAGGGGTGGGGAGAGATACGACGGGGTAGTTGATGCAAGGGCAACTGTAGAGTGCACACCATTGCTTGAGAACTCGGTGGATATCCTCGAAATTGAGGATTCGGTTTTCACGAAGTGTAAGAACTTGAAACATGCCTACACTATAACCTATATATACTCTCTTGGTTTCTCCACTGATCGAAAAAGGAGCGAGGGTTGCGCTACATACGAAATCCGTTGGTGTTGACACGTTCTGTACGAACGCCCATCTGTTGTACGACGCGCGACCTCCCTAAAAACTGTGTCGGCCTCTGTCAATACGGCAACCAACCACCAAACGAAAAATACCAGACGGCACGAGCTGGCGACCCTGAAGCGGGAGGAAGACTCGTGGAAAACGGCCGCGATGCAGAGGGCAAGGAGGGACTTGAGAACAGCATCAGCTACGTGCGAAGATTACCCAGTCTTCGCTGCTGGGAGAAATCCAGCCGCGTCGACGAGACTCTTTTCCGGTAGCTCAAGCTTGGAGGAGCGCACGAGAGATAGGATAGCAGAAGAAGGGCCCGGGGAGGAAGCCATGAGGGCGGTTGGACTTGTCAGAGACGGCGAAGACTCTACAGACGAAGGGGAGTCTCAATCGCCGGGGCGAGTGGGGGAGAGGGGGCGCCGTGGCGGCGGTGGTGGGTGGAGGCTACCCACGCGAGTTGTGGAGGAGATGCGCAGGGAGTTCGACCGGAAGATGGACCAAGAGAGCGCCGAGGTCAGTACCGCAGCTCGGATGGGAAGGAGGGTAGAGGAGTGGGAAGGACTGGTGGAAGGTTGTCTTTGTAGCATTGCCTTGTGGAGGTGTAGAGGTTGAGCCACCGCATGACCTTATGAACGCACCCTCCCCCGTGTACCGTCGCGTCCTGACTCGTTGGCCCTCTGCCGGATGCTTTTTATTTTTTCTAGGTTTTGGAGCAGGAGAATAAGGCGTTGCTGGAAGCACGGGCCAGGCTTGCGGAGCGGGAAGGTGCCAGGACAAAGCGGTAAGCTTGGCGGCGACTTCGTGGTACTCTGGTTGTCCGAAGTTGTTGACCGAATCCATTCCCCTTCGGTACCGTTTTGATCCAGATGCACCAGTTTTACAAATCCGATGCGAGCACCCCAAACATTAGCATTTCCGTGCCTGCTAACATCTCGATACCAGCACCTCGCATGGGAGAACCAGGAGAACTGACACCCGATAGTCACTGTCTGTCCACTTGGGGCAATGATTTGTAGTTCAACAAAGAAACAAACAAGCGCGATCGTCCCAATCGGTGTAGTAGTTTGGTAGGTGCATGGGGAGTTAGTTGTGATGAGAAGCGAACGGTCATTCGTTATTCCCGTCCGCCGAAGGACCGAACAAAATATAGGTAGAGATCAGGAGCCTTATGACTAGGTTGGCGGAACTGAGGGACGATCCCTCGAAACCTCCCTCGCTGGAACTGGCTGTCCTCGACTTGTTCATCCCGGTAGGAATGTGTTAGAACAGTCGTCAGGGGTTAGCTGGCGTTGGCGATGTAGTTGTTGTTCGTAGTGACAGTGGCGGTGTGGTGGCGGTGTTGTTGCTGTTGTTGCTGTTGCTACTGGTGCTGTACCCCAGTCACGGGGAACACATGCGCTGGCAATTCTCACCAACAGCCATCACCGTACAGGGAGTTGCAAGACCTGAGTGAACGACTCACCAACGACGGGCGCGACGCTCTGGCTTCCTTTCGGCGAGATCTAGAAGCGGAGGAAGAGAAACGTCTGGCGGAAGAGAGAGGAAACCTCAAGGAGGCATTGGCACGTGAGTCGTTGCGTTGTTAGCAACATATATTAATCGTTTCACTCTGGTAGAATCCCACTATCTCTTGCCTGGAGAACGACCGTTCAAGCAACATGGTGGGGTTATTGTTTTCCGTCATGGTGGTGACAGGTGCGCTGCAGCAGGAACGGGAGCGGTTGGTGACCGAGAGAAAGCTGAAGGTGTTCGACGCTCGGGACGCCAGTGGGTGTGTAAAACTGCTCGTGTTGGGAGCACACTTCCCACCTGACGAAGATCAGCTTTGACTCGGAAAAAAATCCGTCGTAGGAGATAAATCGCGCTTCACCAAAAAACAAGGCGACCCGAAAGAAAGGCTTTGACCAACCCTAGAAGTTTGAGATCCCAAAAGATAGTAAAATCAAAACAGTGCTGAGTACAGCCAGTCGAAAAATAAGACAAACGCAGACACCCCAGGTCATGGACATTTTTTTCGAGGGTCAAGTGCCCGTTGGTCGAGACGAAGGCGTTCCTCCCAACACACACCGGTGTGATTATTTCGGGTACAATATATTTTGACTTGAGAAAAGGAACGGTGCAATACACCAAGAAGAGAGGCAAGCGCGCTCAGGGCCGACCGTAGAGCGCGGCACACGCCGAGGAACCAAATCATGTTGTTCACCTTTGTCTTTTCGTTCTGTCCAGCATGTACTCGGCGTATTTGGTAGACAGTTCTAGACGACTTATCGTCGAGCACCCCAAGCGAACCACCATCAAACACCCTCTATGAATCCCCGAACTCTAACCGTGGTGAGCATCGCAACATTCCGCAATATTTTTTTTGTTTATCGAGGCGAGAATCGTCGCAGGTGGCGGCGAACCTGTGGGAACAGGCGGAACGTTCCACATCCGCCAGGAGGGAAGAGGTGGTCCGCCTCCTGGATGAGGCCGCTGACAGGGCTAGGGTCAAACTTGATGAGCTACTGGCGGTGAGTCTCGTTTTCTGTACGACCAAGAGAGCTGTTCCACATGTTATTCGGCAATACGGAATGGATGGGAGAGGAAGAAACCTTGAGAACGAAGGAGAAGAACAGAGATAGAGAGTGGGAGGCAGAGAGAGGGAGATAGAGAGATAGATAGATAGATAGAGAGAGAGAGAGAGAGAGAGAGAGAGAGAGAGAGAGAGAGAGAGAGAGGGAGGGAAGGAGAGAAGGAGAGAAAGAGAGAAAGAGCTCGAGAGGTACGATATTTGTATAGAGAGAGGAAACAAACGTTTCTCGTGACGGAGAGAAATGCACCTGACCGTCCGAAATCGCGCAAGGCAAAATGGAAAAAATAGCAGGGATATCAGGCTTGGGCGACCATCAACACTCACTGAACGGTGAAGTTTGGCAAGAGTCCAAATACTAAGAGATAGGGTGCAACATCGAATCTATCCTTCGCGGAAACATACCCCCGACATGAAGGTCAGGATGTGAGAACAACATGATTTCATCTTGAAGGGTCCGAAAACGCGCGTGGACAAATGGAGATGAATGAGAGTGTAAAACACCCGGGAGTGGGGGTGGAACTTTCAATCATGACTCCTTGCTCGTGGTGATTTGAAACAGTTCCCCCAACGCGTAGGTTGTTGTCCCTGCTACACCGCTGGTGTTTGTCCCCAGGAGCAAGAAGAGCAAGGGTTGCGAGCGATCAGGGACAGGAGTTCAGCGGAGAGGAAGGCGGCGTTGAAACGAATTAGAGAAGAGGGGGAACGTCGCTGCCTGAAGGAGCTCAAGGCTCTTGCCGACAGCGCAAGGTGCGGTACTGCTCTTCCTTTTTTTTCTCCCGTCTTCTTTCCGCCTTTCTTTTCATCTTTCTGTCCTTTCTGCTTCTTTCTTGTTGACGGTGCACTTTGCTGTACGGCTCGTTTGTTGAGTTTCTAGATAAGCTCAAAGGGAGTTTCCATTGGTCCGAGTTATCGCCTGTATCTTCTCATGTTCTCAAGGGTGTTCAAAGCCCTCCGACGGCGAAAGGCAGCGTTTACAGCTCTCCATCCAATGTGCAACACCCGTTGTTGTCGCATGACAAGCAGCTCTTACTCCTGCCGCGACCATGACCGCCTTCGCCCCCCCCCCCTCTCTGAACGCACTCACTCTGGTCCGGGGTTGATCTGACAAGAGGACCGTCCCCCCCGCCTAAAACAGCCCTTCATTGCGGAGTGGGTCGCCTGCCCAGGGTTGTTCTCGAAGAAAAGCGGGGTCCCATCCCAAACACCCACCCACCCGTTCGCCGGGTAGCGCGATCGGTGATGGGCTAGGAAACGAGGACATTCTGAGTTTTTCTCTTTGTATTCTTCCCGCTCAGGCTGTTCTTTTTTTTCACAACAGCGGTAAGTCGGTTATGTAGCGCGGTCGATCCCATGCCTTAAGGCAGACTTCGTCGAAATACCTTCTATCCTGAGGGACACTCCGATCGCCGGTTGGTAAGACGGAATAAAGGGGCCCTTTTCACCTTCCGGCGAGTCAGGTGGGCAGCCTCTCCCCGCCCGCAGTGCGATTGCTCGACGAGGCAGTGGGCGGGGAACCGTCTGTGACGCCGTGGTTCTTCCATGCGTTTGCAGTGCGTTCATGATATGTTTGGCATTCTGGATGGAGGCCAGACAGTTTCGTTGATGCAAAGTTTTCCAGAACAAGACGGTGACGAAAGAACACCATCAAGAACAACAGCAACAACAACAACATTATCAGCAACAACAATTCCTGGGCCCTTCCTTCATCGTATGTATGTGGCAGCCAGAAGAACGAGGCCTGGCTGCGAATGGTCTTCGGCGGCCTGGGAAAGCAGTTCGAGCGTGGTGATGAGAGTACCAGGGCAGGAGCAACAGCAGCGGCAGCAGAAAACGGAATGAGAGGATTAGGAGGAGGAGGAGGAGGAGGAGGAGGGCTCGACGAGGATGGGGGTTCCGTATCTCCGGCGCTCCGCCTCAGGTGAGAAAAAAGTCACAAGACATGTGGAAATGGTAACAACAACAACAACAACGACAACAACAACAACAACAACAACCATAACAATGCTTTCATTTTTGCGCTCTCATTTTGCTCACACGCCAACCCCCACCAGGGCAGTTGAAGCTTCCAACGACTGCGAGAGGCTAGGCAGGCGACTCGTCGAATTGGTCATCCAAGAAGCGTCAATGAGGCTAAGAGAGAGGTGAACCTGATTGTTTGGTACACTTAACCGAGATGGATTGAATCTTGTCGTAGGTAACCACGCTCAAAGATAGTCAGACCTTCTGGTTCTAAATGGGAGGGGAAATAGATAGCATCGTTGATTTTGCGCGCGTTTTTTTCCTTCGATGTAAAGGAGGAAGCAGAGGGAGACGAAAAGTAAGTCGCGATGTCGGTGTCAAAAGCGTTTCGAGGCTGTGTGTGTGAGCAAGGGTATACCGTCGTTCGTGCTAGGCGAGGGACGCCTCGTGGTCACATAGGCTACAACACCATTGTCGGTCTGTGAGTGACAAGGACAAGCGGCGTTTGTGTTCCTTTCGGTTAGTCAATGTTTTCTCACGTCGCCTTCTTCCGCAAGGGGCTCGCGCTTGGCCGTTGAGGGAGGTTAGGGTGAATGAGAGGCCAACGTTCCTAACGACACCTTCTGCGATCGTCTCAGTAATGATCGGTCTTCGCCATCATAAACGTCCACATCGTGCCTGCGCGCTGACCTCCACCTCCATTCAAACCGGAATATCGGGTTTTCATCGATCAGATAGGCATTTTGACCGTGTGGGAAGCGATGTGATATGCTAGGGGACCCGCCAGGAAGGGTGAACCGCATACAATGTACGACGAGAGATTCATGACGCAGACTTCGACACGTTGTGATGGGAAGAAGGAGGGCATTGCAAGGCTCCTCGGGTTGTGTCACGACGGAATTGTTATCGTTGACGGGAGTATCGTCGCGTCTTACAGCACTTATTTTTCCTGTCGTGTCCGTGGCGCCCCGCGCCCCCGCGCAGCGACTTCGATGTCACCACGCAAGAGCACAATGCACGAGAATCTGGTACCACGGCCTCCGCCACCGCTAGCATCGGCAACAGCAGCATGAGCAAGAGCGACGTAGACAAGACCATCACCGAGTCCCAGGATCTAGCGCATCGCGGCCGAAACCAACATCGCGCTGGCAACAGCAGTTGTAGCGGCGACGCCCCCCGCGAAAAGCGTTGTCAAGGTTGCGAGAGACTGGCTCACGCTAACGTTGAGCTTACACGGCTTTTGTTGCAAACATCCACCATGAGAGCACGGGAGGAGGTACGTTGTGCTGATACCCCCATCACGACAAACACCCCGTCACCACCACCAACAACAGCAGCTGATGCCCGGGGGCAGGGAGCGGCGAGAACAGCGAGGGCAGCAACGACTAGAAACAAGCACCGAGCTGCTTTAGCTGCCGGGGGGGTGGTCAACAGAAAGAAGCGAGCGCCTTCTTCGGCAAGAAGTACCAAAGTAGTGTCAGTCGTGTCACCGACACATCGTCCAAAATTCTCCGGTCGACTCACCAACACGACCTTGTAGCCAGCCCTGTACCCTTATCGTGCACCTCAGCGCTACAGCCTTTACCCCGCGAGATATGTCGAAAAGGAAACCTAGGAGGTCAGGACCCACGGGTGCAATTTCGGCACAACATATGCAAGGATCTGTCGTGTTGCCCACAACGTTGACACGGGGCCGTATGTAGTCCGGCCAAAGTGAAACCCGGGGGGGGGGGGGNGGGGGGGGGGGGGGGGGGGGGGGGGGGGGGGGGGGGGGGGGGTCCCGCAACTGTTTTCATCCAAAAGAATGGGAACGGCACAACGGCACCGAGCTGTGCGTTTCAGGAATTTATTGTACAAGTAGTTAGCAGAGAACAAGACATGGAGTCACATGGCAATATTACGGGTCAGCACAGCTTCTTGATGGAGAGTTGCACGATGACGGGTGGTTCGGCCAGAAAACGTCAGACAAAGTAGCTCGCTGGCACAGCGAAAGGTTAGTACTCGGAAAACCAAACCTAGAGCAACGAGAGAGAGCACGAACTATTTCCCGTTTGCGGAGATGTACACATGACGTGTGATTACGGAGGCAAGATAGGAGAGGTATCGTACTACTGTAGCTCGATCCCTAGGTGAATTTCGGCTAACCCACCTTATGACCCGCTCAGCATCATCAGCCGGTACTAGTCTATTGCCTGTCCGTCGTAAGAAAGCCGGGTGTTCAGCTTCCTCCCCCCGCTAACCCTGCGGGGAGACCTGCTAGGTTCCCGTGGATCATATCACACAACGCAGGGATGTTGAGAAATAACGTGGAGCAAACTTCATCAACGGACGGAAATCGAGTGGAATCTTGACACGTTCTATGCACCAGTACTCTATCTGCAATGTGTAGTGAGAGATTCGCATCTTTTGGTGTTTGTGTGAAGCTTACTGGGTGTAGATAGACTAGAACGTTCGTCATTCTTTTGATCTGGAAACGTGTGGTTTTGTGCTGGAAACGGTGGTGCCGAGTGCTGAGGGGGTTGGTCAGTCCTGCTTAGAAGTATCGCAGTTACCAGAGAGGTTGGGTCACGCTGCAACTACAAGCAGGTTGTAGGTGCTGTCTTTTTGTTTGCCTCAGGGCGAAGAGCGCGCTACAGAACAAGACATGATGGTGCGTCTGCTTGCAGCAGACACTTGGTGCTGCTGTAGTCTGGGGACGATCGACGATCGTACACACCCGCCCGCAATTCTTATTCATGACGACGGCGGAAAGCTCTTGCGTTCAAGTTGAGCTCGTCGACCACGGACAGTCACTGCTGTTCTTATTACGTGTTGCCGCTGATGCATTTCCCCTATCCAGCGACTCCTTTTCCGTGCTCTTTCTCGAGGCGAACAAAATAAAATCAAGTTACCGTTGTACCGCAACTCGGCATGTTGTGTGTGTGCAAATGGTGCACACCATTTGCCATGTACCTCAACCGTCGTGAAGTTGAAGTAGAAACCAGCAGACGTTTTCTACGCGCCCTGGGTTCGCTCAGCAACGGGATTCAGATATCTTTCCCACACAGATACACTCTATGGCCCCTACATCTAGTCCCGATGTGTCCATCCTCAAGTATCCAGGTGCGTTGGTGTTCGGTATGTGCGAGACGACGTTTGGATTGGCAGATCCATGGATCCGATCTGCTCTCACAAATTCAAATTCTGACCAGTAAAATGCGGCCCCCGAGGTTACGTGACGGAGCCCCCCCCTCTCTCTCCATCACTCTGCATCACACTACGTATTGACTCGCCACACATCGGTTGACGCACAACTTCCCGCTCCCCAGCCCCGGCCACCGAAAGCGCCAACAGACCGAACAAGCACCCTGCACCCCCTTCAACCAAATTTGATCGATCCAGCCACAGACCACTCTCGATTGAAAGTCATGGCTCGCTGCTGCAAGGTGGTTGCGGTTCTCTTGGTCGTTCTTGCGACCGCTGCCGGATTCCTCTTGGGGGCGCCACCAGGACCCCCTCGCGGGAAAGGCAAGGCCCCACAGCCCAACGTGGCAAAGAACAAGGTGGAGGGAAAGCCTAGAACGACGGCGGAGAAGACCCTCGTGGGGCCTAGGTGAGAAAGTTAGGCGCACCCGTGATCCGCCTCCCGCCGGGGGGAAGGGTATGGTTGCACCCGAAGCGGCAGTTAGAGGTCCGCCCGTTCGTCATCATCGGGTTCAACACGTACGAGCGCTTGCCGGGGCGATAACCCCCCCAGGGCGGCCTGGAAAAGACCCCCATAGACTTGAACCTCCCACTGCGGTTGCCATCCCTCTGAGGCGGGTGGCTCTGCGGTGTTCGGTTGTTGGTGTCTGGTGGGCGTGTGGAGATGTGCGCCGCGTTTGTTGGAATATTGAATATTGTCTCGCAGAACAACACACACCAAGAAGCTCGCAATTCCTCTATGCTCCCCTTGCCCTCCCCCCCCTGTGCAAGCAGTCCAACGATCGAGACTATAACCGTCGGCAGCCCGCAGCACGGCCTGTTCATCGACTCCGAGCAGGCTCGCGCCATCGCCTTGGAGGCAGCGACTTCGAAAACAGGTGCAAACGATCTCACCCTTTGTAGGAAGTATATGATCGTGCTGACTGGATCCGGAAACTATTCGTCAATCACTACTCTTTTCACGTAACTGCTGCTGTGGGAGGTACTCTGCGTGCAACTCTCTCTCCGCGTGACACGCACACGCTGGCTGGTCGGTGCACAACGAACGCGGAATGGAAGTTTATTTGTTGCGTTTTATTTTTCGCGACACGAGGCACCAGCAGTCGACCACCTTCGTCAGGATCTTCCGTTTTTCGGCGCCAGGTCCCTCACGCGCTCCCTCTCTCAGTCAGTCCAGTCAGCACGTCTTGTATCCGTTGAGAGCGCACCCGGCACAGCGTCTCGTTTTTTCGAATTTTCGTCTATTTTCACTTTGTTGGTTCTCTTTTTTATGGATGGTGCGGCTCCAAAAATTCCAACTGCGTCTCAACCACGGAGATAATCCCCCCCTGCCCCCC